AAAATAAATATAATATAATAAAGAAATATAATAAAATAAAGAAACTTTTTAAAATTTTAAATATATTTTAAATATATATAATTTATATATATAATTATATATAATTATATATAATTTATATATATAATTTTAAATATATATATTTTTAAACAGTATTAAATAAAATAACGAATATTTAGATTCAGATTTAAATTTTAATTTTTTTTATTCAAATATTAAGATTTCAATAATTTCCAATATAAAGTTATTCAATAATAAATAAAACAAATAGATATCATAAAAAATAATTAAAATTGTTAAATGGAATGCAAATATTGCATTGATAACCATCATCGAGCATTTCATAACGCAATTCTTCTTTTATATCGCATATTGTGATTCAATTATGCAATTCACGTATATGATTGTATATTCGACTATTCTTTCATATAGTCATTCATGAATTGCGATTTACATATATATCTGATATATATGATATATCTGACCACAAGATAATTATCCAATAGTATCTAATTTCGTAACACTTGTTCAACTTCTTTAATTATACTTAAAAAAGTGAAAAATAAATTGTATGTTGCAGATCTTTCTGTACTGTGTAATTAAATGTTTTTTATATATTTAAAAAAACAAAAACATTCAAAGTTATTAATCCATTAATTTTATGTATATATAATAAATAAATAAATATATTCTATATATATTTCTTATATATTCTATTCTATATTTAATTATAAATATATATTTATAATATATATGTACATAAATATATATAAATATATATTTAAAAATATTTAAATTTAATTTAAAATATTCAAAAGTTCTTAAAATTATTAATTCATCATGTAAATCAAAACTTTATATTTTATATTTCAATTCTATTTCATATTTTACGTTCTCTGTTCATTTATATTTAAATTTTTGTCAATAATTAATTTTAATACTTCAATATTTTATTTATTTCAGATGGAAGACGGTATTCAACCATTAGAAGCAATGCTCTATACGATCGAGCGAATCAATAAGAATCCAGAAATACTTCCTGGTATACAACTTGGCGCGCTGGCATTCGATACCTGTGACAATCCTACTTATGCTCTAGATCATCTATTCTATTTCATTAAGGGTAAATTATCGCTTGTTCGTTTATTTATGGTTAGTACAAGCATTCATTTGAAATCGATTTTAGGTTTGATAGTGCGCAGCGATCGATTCGGATCCATAAATTATCGATGCGAAGACCAAAGTGTGCCAAAATTTTTAAATAGTGATTTCGATCACGTGGTCGCAGTACTAGGAGCTGAATCAAGTTCGGTTACCATTCAAGTAGGTATCGATAGAGTTGTAACTACCGATTATCAATATATTTTCAATATATTGATAATATTATTAACGGATAATGTTTCTATTTTTGTTTATTCAAAGTTATTATTAAAATAAGTAAAAATATTATTTATAAATTGCAATAAAAATAAATAAATGATTTATTTCGATTAATTTATTTGTATTCATATTATTGATATCTTAATATAATTTGAAAATTCAATGAAACCTATGGATAAACATTAACATTACTAATAATAACTTTGAATAAGAAAAAATAAAAAATTTTAAGAATTTCAATTATTTTCATTCGTTATCGATATATTGAATTATCGATAATGGTATCAAGGATATCGAATTGAAATTATTTAATTAATAAAATTATTAATTATTTAATTAATAAAATTATTAATTATTTAATTAATAAAATTATTACTAAATTTTATTTAATTAAAATAACTATTTTTTTTCTGAAATTTTTCTTGATTTAAAAATTTTATAGATTATAGATCTTTAGATTTAAAATTCTTGAGAATTATTTTAACTCATTTTATTTACATAAAATCTTCGAATTTATTAAGATTTTCAAGAACTTCACAATGATCAAAATTTAAAAAATTTTTAAAATTAAAAATTCAAAATAATCAAATTTATTACTTGATATTTAATATTGATTCGAAATAATTCATAATTTCACAATTAAATATTCAAATATTCTAAATTCGAAATTATGGTTTACAGGTCGCATCAGTGCTAGGTTTGTTTCCGATACCGCAGATTTCGTACATGGCCACGTCGCCTTTTCTCAGCAACAAGGAGAAATTTCCAACGTTTTTTCGCACAGTTCCTAATGATGTGAATCAAGCGCGAGCAATGCTCGAAGTTCTACGGTAAGTAATATGTAATCGAGAGGATATTGTATTGGAATTTATTATAAATAAATTCTTAATTGAATAATTATTTATATAAAATTTGTATTTTAATTTTGATTCTGTTATTATTTATATTATATTATAACAATTTTTATTATTATTGTGTTACTTTATTTTTAAATTAATATAAATATAAATTCAAATTTATATACATATTTATTTAAATTTGAATAGGATATCTGCAATAATTATTAATCAATTTAAACTATCAAACAGCAAATAATTAAAAATATAATTTTTTATATAAATTGCTTTCTTTTAGAATTCATTTATACGTTTCAAGTATTCATTCATAATTAAATTTATAATTAAAATATATCAATAATAATAATAATTATAATAATTATTTAATAATTATCAATTTCAAAAAATAGTGAATAACTGATAACAAGAAATTTAATTTAATTATAGAAATATAATTATAGAAATTTAATTATAGAAGTAGAAATTTGAAAAGAAAATACTTGGATTATTAAATGAAAAGTAATCAAAAATTTTTTAAAAATGAAGATTTTAAATAATTAAGATCTGGTTTCTTTCAATTAATATACTTTCTCTCTCTCTCTCTCTCTCTCTATACATATATATATATATATATATATATATATGTATATAAATTTTTATTCTAAATTTAATTTAAGTTTTTGAATTGTTGTATTAAGATATGTATATTTGTTATATTTAAATATATTCGTTCTATTTTATATTTTTTATCGATCTAATCCATTGTTAGCCAATTCCAATGGTCGTATGTATCGGTCGTTTACACGGACTCGGAGTATGGGAACCACGGATATGAGATGTTGGTATCATTGGCAGCCGAATATTCGATATGCTTTAGCACACAACATCGAATTAGTAAAGATCATTTCAAGAATGATGACTATGATTTCGTGGTCCGTAATATTGTCGAAAAAACGGACGTTAAAGGTATTTATCAAATATTATTTTCTAATTTAATGTTTTTCATTATTCCATATCGTAATTTAATATGTATTAAATTATTTTGAATTAACAATACATCTTGAAACTAGGTTAGACCAATAATATCTCGTAGCGTTAAAATATTTTGAAATATTTCTTAAATATTATATTTTAATTCAGTATATATTTTTTATATCCTAATTCAGTATGTTAAATCATTTTGGATCAGTAATTTATTTTAAAACTAGATTCTTAGATTAAATCGACAATTATCGAAAAAAATTGACATTCGAGGTATTTCTCAAATATTACATTTACCTAGCATTTTAGCAAATTAAATATTAAATCATTTTGGATTAGCAAATCATATCTTGAAACTATAATATAATTAGATTCAATTTTGTGATATGTATTATAATGTATTATAATTCTGATTTTATAAATAGTTATAAAGAACCGAAATGATGTATAAACTCTACACAGGATATTTCGAATTGAATAAATTTGATGGATTTTTTATGAAAAAAATTGAAAATATAGAATATGTAGCAATATTGCAATATATAATTAACATATTATGTATTATTATTATGTTTTTAATGTATTAAGATATAAAACTAACATAAAAACTTTAAAATATATAATAATGATATATAATGATTTCTTAATCAGAATTGTAACCGATATAGACTTAAAATATTTTTAATCTGTAAAACTGTTAAAATATTATTTTATTTCTTCATAACTATTTCAGAATCAATACGTATAATGTATTATATATTATATGTTATATATTATATATAAAATATATTATTATATATTATATGTTATATATTAATATTTGAAATATTTTATCTTTTCACTTTTTATGATTAAAAGAAATAAAATGAAACAATAATATG